AATTAGCAGAGGGGATTACTCGCCCGCGTTGTGAAAGCAGGAGCCGGTAGATGGCCCCCGCGTGTGGGGGGGGGCCAGCCGGGAAGGGGCTGGTGCAGTCGATGGAGCGGGGCTGCCTTTCCCAAGGGGCTTGGCCGGCCCCGGCTCTGGCCATGCTGGGAGTGGGATGTGGGGTCCAGGCGGTGACACTGGGGAGGCTGAGGGACTGTCCACCCCAAGGGCTCTGCCGGGACCCACGCTTTGGGCTTGCCTCCCTGGCCAGGAGGCTCCGTGCCGGGATCTGGACCGCAGGAGCAGGGATAAGCAGCCACCCACTCCCAGCTGGACTCTGGAGGGGCTTGGGGCCGGAGGAGGCTCCTCGATCTTTCCTCAGAGAAGCATAAAACTCGGGCTCACCTCTGCCAGAGCATGCCGGCAGCTGGTGTCCCTGTCCAGGCAAATCCACCCCAGCTCCCACTGTGACCGGTTGGCACTAGGATGCCCAAGGGGCAGCTCCCTGAATCCCTCTGGCAGCTTGGGAGCCCCAGAGCCCGCAGCGGGGTGCTCCGGGACCCCCCACAGCAGCAGCCGTAGGGCGGGGGCCGGGCTCAGGCGTGCGGGCACCCCCCCTGTCCCAGCAGCGGGGGCCCTGGCCGCTCCCCGCTGCTTCGTCTCCTTGGCTGGCCAAAAGCTGAGCCGCCGGCACGTCGCTCGCCCCAGGCTCAGCACCGCAGTGCCGCGTGCCCCCCGGGAGCTGTGCCGCCGGGCTCGGCTGCTCCCTGCCGCAACGCAGCTCCGGTCCCTTCACACCTGCTCTGTAAGTGCCTTTCGCTGTATCGCATGTCTGTGCCATGAATATTTGATCCCCGACAAAGAGGAACGTCCCTCCGGGTGTCTCTGCGTGCCGGCAGAGCCGCGCAGCGGGGGGAGGCCGGTGTCCCCCGGCCGTGGGGGAAAGCATCGCCTGGGCTGGGCAGGGAGCTGGCAGCTCAGCCGGGCTTCGACCCTGGGGCTCTGTGTGCGTGAAGGATCTTTCTCGCGGGTCCAGAGCTGGCATCCACCAGCGTGTGGGCACCGGGCTCCTAGTGATCTGGGGGGACTCCGCAGGGGGTTAATTCTTGCAGTCGCCTCTTTGCTCCGGCTGCTCCCCGGCTTGCGTTCGCCAGGTCGGGTTTCCTGGCCGCAGCTGGTTCTGGTTACCCCAGCGCGGAGGCAGCGTGGGGGGCTCCGGCGGGAGGATGGCTGTGGAGGGGACGGAGGGCTGGGGGAGCAGTGGGGGACGCCTGGGTGTGCGGGGAGGCAAAGGGAGAGGGGCCTGAAGCGTCACGCTTGCAGAGAGCTTGTCTCTGCCGGTGGGGGGACGGGGATGGGACAGGAGCCCCTCCACCCACTGCCGTCCCCGCCAGGCACCCTCCTTACCCATCCTGTGACCCTGCACCCCGGGCTCCAGGAGCGTCGCCATGGTGGCCTCGCCTTCCTGCCTGCAAGAGAAGGAGGAGGGATGATGGGACGAGTGTCTGTGTGCCCGGCAGCGCTGGCTGCCCCCTCGGCATCGGGGTGCACAGCGTGCTGTGGGCTGGGGTGCCCATGGGCTCCCCTTACCCCCTGAGCGTTCCTGGGCGAGCCCAGGCTCAATCCCCCCTCGGAGACCCAGCAGGCAGAGGGCTGGCTGTCACCCTGCAGCCCCTGGGACCCCGCAGGAGCAGGGGCTGCAGGTGGGAGACCCCAAAACCTGGGGGTTCAGGTTGCAATAGGGTGCCGGAGGGTGGGGGCTCTGCCTGCCCGTGGCGGGGGGCTGTCCCGGTTCGGTGCGCACCCCATCGGCACTGGCCAGGCTCTGGCGCGGCCGCTGCGGGAGCGGGGGAAGCGGGTTCCTTTCATTAAGCGGGTCAGACAGATGTGCGTGATACAGATGTGTGCAAAGCACCGTTCCACCAGCGTGGGGTCCGCGCTGCAGATTTTTAGGCTTGACCAAAGAAAGAAACTGAGGGCAAGCGATCCTTAAAGTTATTTTCTTAATTGAAGCAGTCGCTGCCCAGGGCCAGGCTCCCTGCAGCATGGTGGCCATGCTCGCAGGAGCGGGAACGGCCGAAAGCGTCCCTGCCCGTCCTAGGGGTTGTGACCCAGTGTTGACCAGCTCCAAAACTGCTTCCCCGGCTAAGAAACTGGCTCCTGGCTCTCTGCCTGATGCGAGAGCATCCCATCGCCTCCGAGACTGCCTGCCCTGCACCGGCTGCTTTCATCCCGCGGAGCCGCAGGCTCAGGACAAGGCTTAGCTCATCGGGGGGAGGCTTTGCTCCAAGCCAAACCCACCCACGCGCTGCCGGCCAGATCCTGCTCTCGGCAGCCTCCCGAGAAAAAGGCTTGTGCTAAAAAAGGCAGGTGGTGAGCCTTTCCCTGGAGCAGGGGGGCTTCTGCTCCGGCCACCCTGGCGGAGGCGGCAGCGAGGGGCTGAGCGAGGAGGAGCTGTGGCCGATGCAGGCTGCGGGTCAAACCGCAGTGGGGAAGGTGGTGCTGGTGGTCCCGGGAGGGCACGGGGGGGATCTGGCAGGCTGAGGCTGTCAGAGGGGCCTCTCCACCAAATCTGGGCTTTCCATGATGTTGGGAGGGTGCCCTGCAAGGACGTGCTCAGGGCATCGCCCCTCCAACGCTGGGAATTTGTGTCTCCTCCGGCAGAAGCTCTGCCCAGGGCTTAGCTTGCATTTTTGGTGTCCGTTTGTCCCATCTGCAGGTCAGACATGCCTCGTGCTGCTCTGGGGCCAGGTCGGGGGTAACCCCGGCTCTGCCACCGCGGAGCCCAGCCTGACGGGGCTGTGCAGGGACGTCCTCCATGTCCCCGGGGTCTGAGGTCCCGCGGGAGGCTGCCTGCATCCCGCTGGTGCATGGAGCAGGCAGCAGCAGCGAGGCCCCAGGCTCTGGTGGCTCAACGGTTTCATTCCCTGCCCTCCATGGCCGTGGGATGGTCTGGGCAGTCGGTCCGGAGCCTGTGCAGACCCTCAGGCTCCGGGTGGCTGAAATCCTCCAGCTCAGCAAGCCAAACTGACAGCAGGTCTCGCCAGAGGGGTTGGCTGATGGCCACCTTCGTCCCCAAGCTGCCAAGCCCCTGTCTGGGGTCCTGGCGAGGAAGGTGGGTGGGCTCAGCCCACCCTGGCAGCTCAGGGCAGTGCACCAAGGGGTCGAGGTGTCCTCCAGCCCCCCGAGGGGTTTCGTCCGGCCGTGCCTCTCCTTGTGCAGTGCTGGAGACCCGGCCTCTGCGCCCCGTGCTGGCCGGGCGCTGGCGAGGCTTTGGGGTACCCAGCGAGCCCAGCAATCCCAGCCGGTGGGCACAAGTGGATCCCTCCCTGCCCATGCACATGCGTGCCAGCCGGGCACACGCCTGCGGCGAGCGCAGCCATGCAGATCCCCTGTGTCCTCCAGCGCTGTCCCCATGCAGATCCCGGGCAGTGATCGCTCCGCCTGCACACGAAGCTGCCTGCGCCTGCGGCCCCTTCCAGGGACATGGGCTGAAGCCCCTGGCTCTGGGGGGCCCTGCCAGGGAGAGGGTCCCGGCGGCTCCCGGCGCTGGCTCGGGCAGCTTGTGCAGGAGCAGCGTTTTTGAGGACTTTCCACCATTTCCGCCTCTGCAGGGGCTCACGGAAACGGGGAAAGGAAACAAGTTTGGGACGGCTTCAGGGCAGCCGAGAGGCGCAGGCGGACAGGCAGGACACCGGGGCCTGGGCACGGCCTCGCCGAGCGTGGCATGGGGCCACCGGTGTCGCTGGGCACGGTGCCCCCGCAGTGCCCCCAGCTTCGGGGGGGGCTCGGGGCAGCTGCAGGGCTGGGCTCCAGATGTGCGGGAGCAGGAGGAGGTGTTCGTCCCCACAAGCCTCTTGTGCCGGGAGGGAGCACATCTGGGGGGCTGGGGAGCCCCCGGATCCTCCGGGCAAAGCTGTTGGCTTTCCATGGCCATTGTGGGAGCCCTCCCCTTCCTGCTGCCATCGCTCGGCCGTGGCCGGGACACAGGAGCCAGTGGGATGTCCCCGGCATGGCTTGCCCCGGCGCGGGCCTGCCATGACATTTGCAGCCCCTGCGCGGTGCTGGCACGTCATGGCGCTGTCCCTGTGGTTCGTGGGGGTATCCCCACCGGTCGCGGCAGTATTCCCCAGGACGGGGTGCGCAGGGGACGGGGTCCACGGAGGCACAGGAGGCGTTCAGCGCAGCAGTCCCCTCTCCCAGCCATGCCCGCAGCCTGTATCAGCGCTGGGGAGAGGCCCCCGGAGTCCCGACACCCCTCATCCCCCAATGCCAGTGTGCTCGCTCACCAGTGCCCCCAAACTGGGGAGAGACCCCAGATGTCCCAGACGGCTGGGGAGGTGACACCCTCACCCTGGCAAGGGGAAGAGCCGGGCAATGCTGGGTCCCTGCTGTCTCCGTGCCTCGGGCAGTGCCTCTGCTGGTCCCCAGCTCCCACAAAGCCCCATGGCCACTTACCTCTGGGAGGGGGGACAAGGTGGGGACCCCTCGGTCCAGCCACCGCCTTCTCGCTCCAGCTGTGCTGGCCAGGTGCTGGCTCCCACCGCCAACGGCGATGCCCTCCTGCCCATTCCTCTGCCTTCCCCGAGCGCCTTCCTCCCACTCCCACTCCCGGCCGGCGCCCGGCCCAGCCAGCGCCTCAAATTGCAATTCCAGCTGCAGATGTGGGAGCGGGAGGAGGAGGCAGGGCCAGCGCCGCCGGGAATGAAACCTAAACTCCCCACTCAGCCCGGGGCTCGCCGCAGCCTCCCCGAGTCGAGGGACCACGGGCTGCCAAGGGGGAACGGGCACCCAAGGGGGACGAGGCTCCCAAAACAGCCGGGGACGGGGATGCCAGGGGGAGAGGCACCGACAGCCCTCCACCTCTGCCGGCGCTGTCACCCCGTTAATTTGTCTTTTCTCCATCCCCACGTATGTTTCTCTCCCAGTTTTTGTCACTCTCTTAATCCTGCACCAGATGCAGCCCCATGGCTCTCTGTGCCTGTCTTAACCTGCCGCTGGCTCCCTGCCTATCTGTCTGTCCTGCCTGTCTGTCCATCTCTCCAGACATCCAGCCACCTCCTGACTTCAGAGCTCCGTTTCTCCCAGCCCTGCAGCCCCCCCAAGCCGTGCCGCTCTCCCGACGGGGTCCCTGGCTTGCGCTGTGCCGGGGGAGCAGAGCCGGGGGTCCCGAGAGCAGGAGGCAGGCGAAGGCTCTGCCCCGCGGCTCCCAAAGGTCTCCGTGCCGAGAAGAAACCGTCCGTGGAGGACTCAAAAGCACAGGCAGATCACTGAGATCATTGAGATAATTGGGATCGGTGAGATAATTGGGATCATTGGGATCATTGAGATAATTGAGACCAGTGAAATCGCTGAGATCACTGGGATCATTGAGATTATTGGGATCATTGAGATAATTCAGATCATTGAGGTCATTGGGATTATTGGGATCAGTGAGGTAATTCAGATCATTGAGATCATTGGGATCATTGAGATTATTGGGATCAGTGAGATAATTCAGATCATTGAGGTCATTGGGATCACTGAGATCATTGGGATCATTGAGATCATTGAGATTATTGGGATTATTGGGATCACTGAGATAACTGAGATCATTGAGATCATGGGGATCATTGGGATCATGCCTCGAGATCAAGAAGCCCCTGACCTGCAGATCGCTGCAGGCTGGAGGGGTGCTCTTATTAAAAACCTGCAAAGATATATAAAATGAAGGTACATAAAATTAGCATGGTACACGTAAATTGGATCCCAAAGGGATTGTCTAGCAGGTCCTAAACTGCCACGGGGAGCGGAGGCTCCGTGCTGCTGGAGCCACACCAGGAGAAACCTTGGTATCGTCGCTGGGACAGTCCCTGGGGGGCACGAACTGCGGGGGCCCAGCCGGGAGGCAGGACCGCGGCAGGACCGCCTGCCAGCGGGATGCCAGCACAGGCCGGGCATGGAAAGCCCTGCGGCTGGGAACGGGCATTGTCCGGGGACGCGGTGGCCCGGGGCGGGACGTGCCGGGTGAGCGGCGGTGACCAATGGGGCACACGCGGGCAGGAGCAGAGGGGCCACCGCAGCAGCGCCGTCCTGTGCCAGCGCCTGCTGTGCCAGGGGCCACCAAACATTGACGAGGGCAGGAGGGCGAATGCTGACGCGGCGGCGAGGAGCTGAGCCCTCTGTGCGGAGCCCGAGTCCCTCCCGGGGGCTCAGGTCTCTGAAGTGGAGGCAAAGCTGCTGGGCCTTTGCTCTTCTCCCTGGGCTGGGCAGCCCAGACACCCCGGTGATGGGCCCCGGAGGGCGAGTGCAGCCTGAGGGCCACGCTCCGCACTTGCCTCCCTGGGCTGTAGCCTGGGAGGGTGTTCAGGGACTCTGCCTCATGGATGTGGAAAAGGGCCGGCGTGCCCCTGATGTGCTGGTTGTCTGTCCGTCCCCCCGCGCACCTATCGATGCACACGCGCATCTATC